TTAGGGGTCCAAGCAATCAGTGCTGGAATCTTAATGTCTTTGTTCAAAAGCCTCTAGTTTCATTCCTGATCAGAGCTTTAAGCCATAGGGGCAGCTTCCCAAACCCAGATTAAGCCCAATCCTAGAAGGATTAAAAAGGATTTCCAATGGTGATCCACCACCAGCATGGCAAAAATGGTTCTTCAAGGGTTCTTTAGTAAAGGCAGTGGTTCTATAGTGAACCATGAACACTCAAAGAACCATCTGAATGCATAAATGGTTCTTTGCATGGTCAAATGGTTCGTCTCTATGATGGAAAATCTGGTTTTTATATGGTTCTTTAAATATGGATCTTTTAAAAATGATTCTACACATACAGAATTTTTGCTAAGAGTAAATGTTCAGGAAACTGCCCCGTAGAAAAGCACTTAAGTAGGCTGTCTTCAGTATGTCTCTAGTGCCTGGTGACTTGGGTCTGGTCAACTGCTTCACATATTGACATCCTTCGTTGGAATGTATAGGCATACAGGATAACTTCACTTGGGATGTTGGTGTTGTACAAAATAGTTCTGAAAAGACCACTTACTTGTAATACAAAAAGGAATTTAAAAATAACTGTAATTGTGAGAATTATAATAAAAAATAGAAATCAGATAAAAAGGAGTCGACAGTGGGCCGCTAGGAGTCCTCCGCAGGTAGTGAGAAGGGTTGGACGTCCGGGACGCCAGAGAGATGCTCTGATTATGGCTAAAATACCCCACACTCTTCCATACGCACTGTAAACAATAGCTGCACACGGAGAGAACACAGAGAAGGGAAAACCAAACAGCGAACTAATTACACCTTCCAAGATTGTCGTTTGCCTTGTCTTACAGTTCGTATGCGTAAAAAGTAGCTGTCCGTGATCTGGAGAGAGTGGCCTCCAGAGAAGCGCATGAGTGGTTCAGGAGCTTTTAGCAAGAGCCTCTTTTCCTCAATGATCTCACAACCTCTCCACAAAAGACGTGAGCAGTCCCTTGTCTATGGTACAAATGCATAACTGTCACAATCTCAATTTTTCAAGAAACCGTTAGCAGAGCTCAGTGGCATGTGAGGTTGGTAGGAGTATGTGAGGTTAGTAGAAATTCAGCAGCGTTCGACACGAGTCGTTTTAATAAGCAGTGGGACCCATCCCTCCATCGCTCTGACCCGGAGCAGGGAGAGAAAGACGAGATGAGAGAGGCCTACATCTATCAGATGCTTCACCATTAAAAATAAAGGTGCCAGAAAGGGTTCTTTGGAGCGACGCTGTTGAAGAACCACCTTTGTTACCCTAAAGAACCCTTGAATGGACAGTTCAAGATTTTTTTTTTTTTTTGTGAGGATGTTTAAAGAACCTTCATAAAGTCCTAGAACCCTATGACCAAGCTAAGGACCATCTAGGAATCTTTTTTTTTTTTTTTAAGTGTGGAGTACTGACAGAATAAAGGCTGAGGAGGAAGTGACAGAGAGAGAAGGAGAAGGAGGGGGAGAGAGAGAGAGAGAGAGAGAGAGAGAGAGAGAGAGAGAGAGAGAGAGAGAGAGAGAGAGAGAGAGAGAAAGAAAGAACAGATATGACAGAGAGTCAAAGGGATGGGTCCATCAAAAAAGAGAGCAATAATAAAAAGAAACCCAGCATAAGCACAGTGAGGAGAGGACTGGTCATTTTGCATATTTCTTCATCCTTGCCACTACGCCAACCACATTTCTATTCGATAATCAGACATTAATTTTATAGAGAGAGATCAAATGTGACAGTCTACCAAGACTCATATAGAGCATAACATTTCTTATCTTGTTCTGGATTTATAGTGGGAGCTATATAAATATAGCAGTTCCAGATATACTGTGAGATCAGCACTTCATTTGGAGTGCTACACAGTGGACAATGCTGGAAACACAATGTATAACTGAACTTTATACAGTACGTACACCGACAAGGACATTTCAGTGGCTAGATATACACAGTGCACTTTAACACCAAGTTTGATCTCAGTACAGAGATGCACATTTCAGCTGTATAGATGCTGTATATAGTTCAGTGAACATGTGTTTTGAATTATACTTGCTTTACTATGCATATCTATGCTTTACTATGCATATCTGCTACCAGGGAGATGGGTGGCTGTTGTTTCTCTTTTCATATGCGTACAATTTATACTCACTGGACCCATAATTAAGCCAATAAACCATAATGAAATATAGCAGTTAACCAATTAATAGTTACTGTTAGTCTTAACATTAACATCAGTTTTACCTATGTATTTTTACCTATGATGTATTTTATCAGCAAATACATGTTTGGGGCCAAATTCTGCTTCTTTAGTTTAGTGCTGGAGCTACAAGTCTAATGCTTCTAATAAAGACTAGGAGTCAATAGTCACCCAAATCTTTTCAGTAAATGTAACCCCAAAACTTCTCTCAACCCACCCAAACTGCATCGAGGATCTTCATTAAGATTGTGCAGGCTTGTTGATGTGCTTCAGGAGACAGTATGACCTTACATTACTGTAAACTAGAACTGTAAACTGAACGCCGTGGGCAGTAATTTTAGGATGTCGTACCAAATTCTGCATCTCCTGCAGAATCCCACTCTGCTTCATGAGCATGCACATCATTTCTGTTTTTCTGTTTTTAAATGTCTATGTTCAGTTAAAAAATTAAGATTAACAGTTAAATGTATATATGTGTCAGAACAAAACCTTGTATCTCCAAAATGGTAACTTGCTGGAAAAGGAAACAACGTACTTTACTTTTAATGCAAGTCTATGGAACCAGACACTTTTCCAAGTAATTTTGGGCCGTTTCTTTTGGTCTATTCATCATGAAATTTATACAAAATGTAAAGGGCAACAGACAATTTCAAATTATGCCAAAAACTGAAAAAGGACACAAATATAGAGATACAAGGTTTTGTTCCGACAGCAGCGATATAGATATTTATATATATATATATATATATATAAAAGATATATAAAATAAACTGTAAATGTAATCTGCTGGGTCCATGTGTCTGTGTGATGCCGGAGCAAAGCGGAGAATTCAGCACAACACCCTTGCTATCTAAAACATAGTATTTGTTCATTTTTACAGTTCGCAGTAAGTCACGCTGTTTCCTAACCCACACTGACAAGTCTGCTCGTCTGGACGATGCATTTACAAATTTGGGTGACTGCTGAGTTGTAGTGTTTGTTATCAAAGTTAGCCTCATATCTCCAGTTGTAAAATAAAGAAGCAAAAGTGGAAAATAAGCCTAGAGTACAAGGGGGTAACAGACACAGAGCACACCTACTGTCACAGAAAGGTACCTTTCCCTCAGTAACAGCGTGGTCCATCAGTGGAATGCAATGATTATGGAGCCTTCACATTTGGGTCTAGGTAGTCTCTCCACATCTCTCTCTCTCTGTCTCTTTCCTTTAGGATGAGGAACGCTTTTGATTATCTTTTGCATTGCGATACTCTTCCTCTTGTTCCTCACTAACAGTGCAACCTCAAGCTTTTTAAATGCAGGAGCTCCATAGTAGCAGACCAGCACTGCCTCAGTGTGCAAAGAGGAGCAAAATTACAGTGACACTCCAGTCAAGCCTGCCTCACTAACTCAAAACAGCTTCTCTCTTTCTAAAGATTCAGTTCCCCAGAGACTGCACAGGTGAGACAGGAGAGCCCCTTCAGGGCGTGTGTGTGCGTGTGAGCAGGCGAAAGCTCATCCCTATTGATCTCTGGAGCTAAGCACACACTGAAGCACTTGAACTCTAAATTAAAAAAAAAAAATGCAACCACAAAGCAAACAGCCCTCAGAGATAAACAAATGTTACCGGCAAATATGCAAAATGGTTTAAAACTAAGATGGCAGTATTCGTTTCTTTTAAGGATTCATATTGATACAGTTTTCCGTTTTCTTGTCCATTTCAGGTTCCTTTTTTGCGTTTTCGTTGTTTTTTTTTTTTCCATCTTTGAGGTGCTCTGGTTGTGTAGGAGGCTTGAGGTTTCAGGTCTGTGGCGTAAAGTCCAAGTCCTTTAGCAGCAGAGTGAATTAATGGCCTTCAAGAAAAGTCAACAGATAAAAAGACTAAACAGATCTTCCCTCCATCCCTCTCTACCTCCTTCCCTCCTCTGCTCCAAAGCTGAGCACGGAAGAGGGACGAATCAAAGAGGAGAGGCGGCAGGAAGTTTTAAAAAAAAATTAAAGACAAAAAAAAGGGTGACCCGTAGGAAAGGAAGTGGAGTGGAGAGTTGGCATCCAGAGATGAAACGCCTTGAGAGATGAGCTACGGCAAGCGTAGAGGCCCGGAAAAAGACCTAATAACTGAAAGTGGAGATATTTACCTCATTGAAACACTTCATTCAGTTCTAATTCTTCGATTCCAGTGTAATTCCAGTGTAGTTCTGTAATCAATACTTTCAGATTTGAATATGTACATCACGTTATAGAAGCAAACAAGGAAGAAAAATAATAATAAATCAATTAAATAACTACAGAAACGAACAAATCTCACTCCCTGTATGTACTGCCTCTTGCAGGTCTTGGCGAGGCACTAGACACATAAGGTAGAGGAGAAGAGGGAGCCGTTTTTCTCTCCCCCCGGGACAGAAAGAGTGAGGGGCTGGGACACACAGGGATGGGGGTTTCGGACAGGCTGAGGTATTTCCAGGTGAGCTCCACCTGTATATTCTTATGCATAAGTTACACAATTTTCTCCCCGCAGCAAAAAAGAGTCGTTAGGGGAGGAGAGGTCAGAGCGAGTGGAAAAAAAGTGCTTCAGAACACAGAGCGCGATTATTTACAGCGAAAGCAAAGGTCTCTCTCTCGTTTTTTTCTTTTTTTTTTTTTCTTTTCCTTACATTTTCTCTTTAATCGTTCTCTTTTTTCCCAGGCGTCTTCTTTAGCCTCGATTCAAGAAAAGTGTCTTCATTTAGTTAGTGCTAAACCGGAGTATTGGCACAGCATAATGCCTTCTTTTAAGTAGGTTAAGAACAAAAGAAAACAGAAATCAATGGCTTTCAAAAGCAGAGGGGGATTTAAAAGGAAAAATAATGTGATTTAAGAGTGTTTCAGTAAGTGAGCCTAGGGGCATTGAGGGGTAGAGGGGTGTATGATTCACAGGATCAGCACATACATACAGCAAAAACTGCTGTACAGCGCTCTTTTCTTCTCTGATGCAGCACCCCACCAGTAACACCCCCATTCACCCTCCTATATTCATCTTCTTTCTTTTCCTTCCTTTCTCTATCTTTGTGGTCAAAAGCTCCATCCAGTCAATCTGAATGTGTTAGCATGATGATGCAATGATCGGCGTCTCTCTCCTGATATCTTCAGATCTGTAGGCTTTTAGGGATGAGGAAGATGGTTGGCAATGACAGGGAGAGGCTGGCTAGTCCAAGAGGTGATGGAAGGAGAGAGAGAAAAAGAGAGATAAAGGGGGAGGGTGAGAAATGGTGGGATGAGAGGAAAGGGAGAATGTGCGGTTCAGTTCTGTTGCAGTATGAGGTTCTCCAGCTCGTCTGCTGAGCGCAGTAAGAAGGCTGCTGATTCACGGTAGCCGGCGATCAGCTGGCGCACCGCTGCCACTTCCGTATGGCTGAGCTGGGCAGAAGTCCCGCCTCCTGCACTCCGCCCAAGACTACTGCTGCTTGACGTAGATGAGTTTGAAGCCAGAGACTTCATACTGAGATCAGTAGGCCCTACGGAAAGAGAGAGTCCAAATAATTCTGTAATTGCTGTGGAATTAGTTGATTGAGTTTAACAGCTATTTACATACAGATCATGTACAACTATTGTACTGTTTTCTAGATACTTGGGATTTACTTTTTTCAAAATCTGTTGCTTACATTACCAAAGATCAGTGTGAACTACATATGGCAGACATCTCATTTTAAACCACCCACATCTACTACAAATAGAGGCCTTCAAAATACTTTGCCCATTTGTGTTCTACTGGCTTCAGTAAGGCACATAGTGCTTGGACCCTGACGATTGCCACTTCCATTTTGACCAAATCCTGCTGCACAGAGCAGCTTTCTCTGCTGGCCTTGAGGTGGGTTTGTTTATTTTGTCTATTTAAAAGTTAGCTTTCTCCATAACGTGGATAAAACAGAAACTCAACCAATCAGTTGACTTTAGGCTCCCGTGTGGAGTCAAAATTCTTATTATTCAGTAAAACTAGCTCATATTACCAACTACGAATGTCATGAAAATGAAATGACTCGCAATAGGAGTAAAACAGGTGTGTCTGGAAATCACACAGGTTTACTAAACAGATGAACCCAAAGCTGAGACTTTTTAAAGCTGTAGCTTTGAAGACCAGTAGAAAACACAGTCCAGTTCCCACTATACAGTACACAATATGTGATTTCGAGTACGAACACTAGATCTGTCAGTTGGCTGAATAATGATCCTGAACTGTTGTATGTGGTTCATAGTACTATACAAAATACAGGGGTTCACAAGGATGTAGGCAAAAAATACATCCATAATGCAAACATGAATTATATGAATTCATAAATCTATTATTACAAGAGACTACAATAAGCTAGCCATAATGTTATCAATGATGATACACAACATAAAGAAAAGAGTTTATTGACTTCATCACTTAAAAAAAAAAAACAAGCTATTCCTGAAATGGGTTAATTAGATTTGATTGACTTGTAGCACTTCCCAGATGGAAGCAGCCAAAAAAGACAGCAAAGCTGGATGAGAGGAATCTGAAATTATCCTCTCTGCATGCTTCAGGGTGCGGTGAATATAAATAGAATCGACTGAAGGAAGAGATGTTCCAATTATCCAAAGAGCTTTCAAGATCTACAGCAATGTTTCTCAACCTAGTCCTCAGGGGCTGACCAGACAGTGCACATTTGGCTTTATCTCTGCTCCTAACACACCAGAACCAAGCCATTAAGAACACTGAATACCGGTTACAGGTGTACTGGGAGCTGGGATACAGCAAAATTGTAGATCGTCTGCTGGGCATGAGGACTGGACTGAGTAAAGCTGAATTACTGGACAAGATGGAATCTGTGGTTCTGCTAAAAACACTTGATTGAACACTCTTGTAACCCTTCTTGTATCAGAGGATGCATGATTGATAACTTGACATACACCAGACAAGAGAAATTTTCTCACCATTGCTCTGGGCTGTAGGGGTCGTCAGAGAGATAGGGTGCTGCATGCTGCCTCCCAGGCCACCATACGCACGGTAAGTGTACCCAAGGCCTCCGTTGATGTACAGCTGGTCCTGGGAGTAGGCTGAGGCTGCCAGAGAATATGCAGAGTGGGTCAAGGGCACCGGCTCACGAGAGATAGCCTTATCCAGAGCTATCTGATCTTCCTGAGACACAGAGAGAGAAAAACACTGTTCAGACACGTTCATCAGACTTTTACCTTTGAAATCCATTTGAAGCTCATTTAACCTCATGAACCAATTTTAAATATTCAACCATTCATTCTCCGGTGCATTAGAGCAGGGACAACGTATAATGGCCAAAGTATGGGTTCTCCAGGAACAGGATTGGGAATCAGTGATCTCAGAATACCCCACCCCGACCCTTTACTCCCAACACACACACAGATACTGACGTGTGTTTGGTAGACGTCCATCCGCATCCTCTTGGCAGCATTTCGTGTTTCGCTCTCACAGGCAGCAGCCAGAATGTTCTCTGCCATGGCTGAGGTCAAGTGTGGCGGCGTGGGCCGAGTCTAATAGCACACACACAGATTTACCAATAACATATAACAAGCTCAGAACGCTGCCCAGCAACTTCAAATCAATTCACACAATTCTGTCAACAGAGTGTTAAATGAGAGGAAAAGGTGTGCGGTTTAATTGGCCACAAGGGGTCAGTATATGGTAGATGAAAGTAGTCAGCTTTAATAATTTCATAAGAAAAATTACTGTCTCCAAAACAGTAACTTTATACAGTCATATGGAAAAGCTGCACATCCCTGATCAAATTACACGTCTTGCTGATTTTCTAAGTGAAAAAAAGTTAACACATCCTTAATAGAGAACATATTCTTTGCATTTTATTTGCTGAATTTAGTATACTGGAGAAAATTAAACATAAAAAAAACATTAAATGTGGCCTATGCAAGACTTATGGCATGTTTTATACTGTATTTTTATAAAATATATTAACATCTAATAAATAGAAATGTGCTGAACAATTTGCAGAAAAGTGTCATATTTAAGTATGGTAACTTATTTTCACTGGAAAAAAATCAGCAAATTTTGTAATTTGACCAGGAGCGTTCAATCTTTGTTATATGAGTGTCCGACAAGGAAAAATGTTCTTATCATAACCAGGGGTGCTGCAGTTTTAAAAATTAAATTCAATACTTTTAAGCACTTTTAAAACTACAAAATAATATATTTTTCTATTAATAATCATCATTATAATAATACCATTCCATCCTACATGGAAAGAAAATGTGAAGCATACATTACAAAATGTACTTTAGTGTTTGGAATAAAACAATGTATTTGAAACTAAAACACAAGTAACAAAACAATACACAGCTATGTATTTTTTTTTCAAATGGGACTGTACAACAATGTTCACAAATGTATTAACGTCTTGTATTCAAAAAGATCGGCTGAAAATCAAAAATGGACAGATGCTTCAAGATAATATACGTGACATATGTCTTTTAGTGTGTTTAACTGACTTCTATTTATAAACAACAAAAAGCCATTTTCGGGCATTTTATTTACCGGTGCATCCATTAGGAAGTGTGCACACAATGTAACGGGGCAGCTAGGGTTCCTCTCACGACTGAGAGCATATTAAAATGACTGAGCACTCTGTGAATGTATGTGTCACCGTACCTCCATGCCGTTTTTCTTCATGCGGCGGCAGGATTTGAGGTAGGTGCGGATACGTTTGCGAGCGCGTTCCTGAAACTCTGGAAACTGACGGCTGCAGGACTCGATGATGGCCTGGATCTTCTCTTTGGGCTGCTTGGAGATGGGCACCATGCGGTCCAGGTTTTCATCCACAAACAGGCGCACAAACATCTAATGAATAGATGACATAAGACTTTTTAAGAACTTTTTAATAGCAATTGTAATAAATTTGAAAGACCATCATGCTCATTTCTGTGTCCCCCAACAACGTGTGGTTGAATTTGCAATTTCCCATGTAAGTATGCAAAAGTTTGGTCATCAAATGATGTTTTGTTGATGTTCTCCTCTACAGAGAACACACTTGTGCACAGTTTTATGTACAATTACTGTTTATTTGCTGACTTTAATATAATATGGAAAAAAATATAAAACATGGCCTGTGCAAACATTATGTAAAATTTTACATTAAAATTTTTCCCCATATGTTTAACACAGCAAATGAACAGAAAATGTGACCTAAAATTTAAATAGAAAAAATGCTGTATTTACATATGTTCTTTGTAGAGATGTATTAACAATTAACAAAAACTAATAATAATTAATTTGACCAAGATGTTCAAACATTTGCACACAACTGTAGTTGCACAAATCAGTCAAAGCTAAAGAGAAAAATCTAAGAAAGCTGGCAAAGCTGTAAAAGCTGGGAAGAGAAGGATTCCACTGTAGGTAATGCAGTCAGCTCAACATAGATGGAATCTCTGCATCCATACTGTGCGCACAGCAACTTCTTCATTATTATGATAATAAGAATAAAACTAGAAAAAAAGCCAAAATCTTACTTCAAAACCATCGTAAACAATGTCTCAGGTATCAGGCAACGTATTCATAACCATTTCATGTAATAGCTTTCTGTGATCAAGCTTTTAGAGGCATTAATCACTTCAGATGCTTCCTATCACCACCACTGTGAACAGGTTGGTAAGTTTCCCTAAAAACCACTTCACTTCAAACCACTCTGAATGCCTTTGCTTACATTTACAGAGTTTAATAATGCAGAAATCAGGCATTTTCCATTTAGAGTCATACACTTACATTTAAGACTATTAAGACCCACAAATATCCTGATAAATTAAAATGCAATGATAAAAAAGTCTATGGTTTACTCACATTAAAAGCCTTCAGCCTCTCTGGGTCCACTCCCTCCGTATCGTTAATCTTGTCACTGTCATCGTGGTCGTCATGGTCGTCGTCATCATCATCGGCAGCCTGAGAGCGACTGACTGTCAGGTCCTCAGCACACATCTCCATCTTTATGGAGTCATAGCTCCCTGAGCCATAGTGAGGAGACTACATACACACACAAAACCACACAACACCAAAGTGAGCTTCCCTTTGGTCTGTACACTTGTAGAGAAAAAAAGATGAAAGTGGTTTAAATGAAAGAATGCAGCTCTGTGGGCTGGATATGCTGCTGAAAACAACAAGCTCAAGGTCTACCTGGCATGTTCAATTCCATTTATGATTCAGTGCATGTGTGTAAAACTCAACAGCACATTCTTTCTTGTTATCCATGTCAGTTCTTTGTTGCATTCCTTCTCTTTCTGTCTCATCAACTGCATAAACAACTCTTCATCAAAGGTCTCCAAAGATGCTAAATAGTAATTTCCCACAAAAGGTCAAATACTTGATCCATCTTCCAAATGTGTGTGTGTGTGTGTGTGTGTGTGAGAGAGAGAGAGCACCTTGTTGCCGTAGTCCCTGATGTCTCTGTCGAGGTGTAGGTCTGACGCCAGTTGGGGTTTGGAGAATTTTCTGCGGAGTTCCTCTGAGTGTTCAGGGTTAAATGTGGCTAGCATGGCGGCAGCTGTGGGCAGAGCCTGGCCCATTCTCTCTCTCAGGTTCGCCGGCTGCTGGTCCTCTGAGGACGAGGAGGACGAAGTCATGCTGAAGTCCAGTGGCGCACCTGTCCCGTTCCCGTTAACCTGACTGTATGACCCCGTCACTGGTCCGGCCCCTGCTCTGTCACTCACAGCTACCACGCTCATAGAGGGTGGAGTCATGCTGTGGATTCCATTGCCACTCCCACTTTCTGAGGAAGAGTCATCTGCAAAGAAAGAACATATTTCAGAATTGTGGCAGAAAATATATGCACTTTCTTTTTGCGCTGCACATCCCCATGTAAATGAATCCGAATAATGAGAAGCCCCAAAAGCAACGAGATTCAAAGTCAGGAATTTAAGAATTACCCATCCACTCTTAAAGACACAATTCCTTCTGTCTACACTGAATGGGTTCAGACTGCTCATCCAATGGAAGTCAGCTTACGCACCATTAATTTCAGACTGGCATAATCTGCCTGCTAAGTTGGCAGCATATGAACGAGTTTCCTTCTCTCTGCTGGGCAGGCTGGAATGGTACTACTTGAAATAGGAAAGATTCCTTCACTATATCAATGTCTCTTAAAGATAAACTTATAGCTTAGCTCATCTTCATGTACATACACGCATATACACACCACATGCTTGCCTATTTGGCCTGACTACTACACAGCCCAATTTATTTATTTATTTATTTATTTTAAACACCTCTATTTTGATTTTCCTCTTAGTTAATGTTTTGATCTTCTGCTTTTGTCAATATGTACACGGTCTCATTTCTCCTGTTTTATGTATACGTACATTTTTACGTCTAAAATACAATAAAATAGACAATTGCATAAGAATTGAAGCTCTAAGAAACTTAAAAGCACATTCAAACAGGTGGGAGCAGCAAAGGAAAAATCAGAACGCAACACAGAAAGAAGCTGAACTGCAACCCTTTACAGAGGAAAATGCATCAAACAAGCACATTTTGAAAATAGTGTTAAAGCTTTGGAAGTGCATGTATCCCAGTGGGGTCCTCTTGCCTTCTGAAAGTACAGTAGCCAGGCAGAAACGCAGCAATGCTGCCTGCAGAGGGCACTGTGGAGAAGTGACTCACTGTAACGGTGTCATCTGTATGCAGCAGACCTATGAACATGTATGTGTAGGTACATGCACACGTGTGAGAGAAAGAACGAGTGCGCACATGTGTGTGAGCAGCGCAGTGCGGTACTGTACAGCTGTACAATATTAATCAGTTTAAGAGAGCACATTCAAACCTTAGCCTATAGGGCTTATCACCCCACCCCCACATCATAAACATAACCATGCCAGTGAAATTTATCACAATATACATCTCACTTGCACCACCGTCACACTGACTTAGGTTCATTATGTATGAAAGTAAAGAGAGACGGGAAGGCTGGGCAACGCTGGGGTCAGCTTGTCCGGAGAAAAGAGGGAGAGGAGGGAGGGAGGCGAGTGTCAGAGAGACAGAGTGCTGGGGGGTTGGGGATTGTGGCGATCATTGTTTGGAGAGGAGGAGCAGCCAGGCAGGAAGAGAGAGACGGAGGGATGGAGGGCGAGTGGGGAGATGCAGGGACGGGACAAACAGGACAGAGGGAGTGCGAAAAAAAGGCGAAGGGAGTGAGAAAGGAAAAAGAGGGAACAACGTCAAAGTAGGGGGCAGAGCGAAGGTCTGAGAGAGGGAGTGAAAGAGAAAGCTGGAGGAAGGAGGATGAGAGAGGGACGAGGAGGTGGAGATAAAGGATTAGATGTTGAAGAGATGAAAAGGGAGATGCGTAGGAGCACAAGACCGTGACAATACACTGCAATTCAAAAACATGACAACGCACAACACAGAGACTTATCCATGCTCTGCCTACAGATGTGTTCTTTTGATTGACTGCTGCGAGGCTGAATGTGTTACTCTTTTAAACTACACTTTTCATGTGTTTCAAAGGTCACATTGTTAGAATAGATCTGGTGTAGTTTTATAACTTGTACATTTTGTTTTTGCTGTAATATTAAAATTAAAATGTACGAAAATACAACAGGAAAAACGCTGTCAGCAACTCTTTCAGAGTAACGTAAGTCATACTGCAGTAGCTAGTGGAGTGCTTAGTTTGCTAGCGATATTAAAATAGCTACATATGTACACTTTGCATAGCCTATATGTTTATGTTTAATTAAGATCAACAATTAAGTGACCCTTATTAGTCCCACAATGGGGAAATTTCACCTCCGCTTTTTACTCATCCAAGCAGTGAAACATCACATACACACTAGAACACACACACACTAGGGGGCAGTGAGCACACTTGCCCGAAGCGTTGGGCAGCCCTATTCACGGCACCCGGGGAGTTGGGGGTTAGGTGCCTTGCTCAAGGGCACTTCAATCACGTACTGTCGGCTCAGGGGATCGAACCGACGACCTTTCAGTCACAAGGCTGGTTCCCTTACCTCCAGCCCACAACAGGGAAATTTCAGCACCGCATACAATACAGACTTTGAACACCACTGAGGTGGATTATAATATAGGTTCTCAGTGTAGTAAGGAATGCTGAAGTGCACCCAAATGAAACATAGAAACTAGAGTAAAACAGACAAGCTTGTCCAGAAGAAGAGTGTCAATTAGGAAATTAAAATTTCACAAATTGAAAAATTTCTCAGTTTAACTAGATAACTAGCCCCAAATCAAGCCAATAGGAAGCCCAAAACCAATCCAAATCAACAGCAAAAGAGCTAAAGGACATTCCCATTAGAAAATCATCAACTTTTGGCTTACATTATTTGGCTAACTGACAAATCCTGCTTTGTCAGTTTGACTATATTTTGGCTTTCAACTAAATGAATGAGGACACCCCACCGGACTGTAGAATATGGTTATCATTTTAATTCGTTAATATTAGAGGCTAGCCCAGCTGGTAATTACCACCAGGGAAAATGCAAGTAAGGCTCTGTAATGCTCACATGTGGTACTTTGTGACTAAATTTGGATCACATCATTATTATTATTCATGATAATTCTGATGACAATGTCTTGAATAAACCAACATTATCATTCAAGCTTAAACTACACCCAGTCTATCCTTACAGTGTAACTTCTCACATGCACACACAATAATCAATTGAAATTAAAATTGCTGGGTCAAACAACAGCAGCAGTAAAAGAATATAGAGCATGGATAGGTCAATAGCATCGTTTGAACACCAAAGGTCACTATAACCCCAAAGTAATCACAATAATTAAGTCATATATATTTTTTCCATTTAAATTTTGTTCTAAATGTTGTGACATAAAATGTAATTATGAACCCAGTAACTGATTTGAGAGATAATTGTATTTTCACACCTCTACAGATGAGAGAAAAACAGATTAGAAAGATAAAGCATGTTAGGACAAGAAAGGCCGAAGTATTAGAGGAAGGAAGAGGGAAAGAAGTAGGGAGCACAGAGCAGGGATTGGGTGGTGAAAGAGGAGAGAGGCACCGGAAAGAGCAGAATAGAGGCCAGTGAGGGGAAAGAGAGATAGAGATGTATAGAGGGAATGTGTAGGGGTAAACATGGCAGAGGCAGGCGCCTATTTATTAGAGTATAAAGAGCATTCATGCGTTGAGTGGAAGGCCATCCGAACGCCTGCCAGCACTGCCCCAAACCTCTCCAGTTTCACCACACCATATAATATCAGACACGTGTGTGTGAGTGTGTGTGTGTGTGTGTGTGTGTGTGTGTGTGTATGTGTGTATATATATATACATACATACATACCTATCTATCTATCTATCTATCTGTCTGTCTGTCTATCTATATCTATATCTATATATATATATATATATATATATATATATATATATATATATATATATACACACACACACACACACACAGACAATTGATTTGGTACACACCTAATTATTGAGTTTAAGTGTTTCAGCCACACCCATTGCTAGCAGGTGAATAAAGTTGATCACATAGCTTTGCAGTCTCAATAGACAAACACTGGCAGTAAAATAGATCATACTGAAAAACTCAGTAACTTTAAACATGGCGCTGTCATAGGATGCCACCTCTGCCACAAGTCATTTTGTGAAATTTCTGCTAGATCTGCCTCAGTCAACTGTAAGTGCTATTATTATGAAATGGAAACGACTAAAACATTTACACATATGCACAAAGAGTTCTGTTCTAAAATGTATTCCAACGCCATCCTCATGAGTTTTCTGTTTTCTTCATAATATACGAGTGGGCATATAAGAAATATCAAAGCCATATTACAATTAATACCACCTTTATTAGAGCAATGTAGTGCATTATAAATCAACTGCTATTCTCTATTTTTGTCAGAACAAACCTTTTCATTTCTGTTGTGTTCTTGTCTTTTACACTGTCAAAATTTCATAAAATGGACCAACAGAAATGGTTCACAATTACTCAAAAGCAATAACTGTTTTTTCCTTCTGTAAAGTTACTTTTTTGGTCTTAATCCAACATCGCTGATATAGAAGTATCTAAATGTAATAAAAACTTTCTAAACTTAACCCTAAAACTGACCCCTAACCTCAGTAACCCAAAAGAAATGTTTTTGCCATGTCAGCTTTAAAACAAGTAGGCTTTGATTGATTGATTGATTGATTGAGTGATAAATAAATAAATAAATAAATAAATAAATAAATAAATAAATTTAAAAGACAGAATGTGCTTTTTACAGACAGGACATTCTGTCCTTAAAATGTACAGAAATAAACATATACAAACACAGACACAGTGTACAGTCAGCCTCTCAAGCGTCTCTGACTCACTGATGTGTCTTCAGAGTGTGTAAAAGTGTGTTTTAATGACAGCTGCGACAGCTCACTTTTAATGCATCTAGAGCGTGTGTCTCTACATCTCCACTGCTGGGACTGTTTTGTGTGTGTGTATGTGTCTGTCACTGGAGCTGTGAAGAGCTGAACGCACTATTTACCTCATTTTCTCTCTCTCTGTCTAGAAAAAGAGAGTCTACAGATCTTTGAAGTGCAGATGTGGTGGTGGAAGCGCTGCTGGTTTTCTCTCAGTGATGTATTCTGACTGGTTTAGCGAATGCTGACAGATCATTTGGTGTTTCAGAGTACGTGTGCATGCATGTGTGTGTAAACTGTGTCAACAAACATAAATCACTGCGCAGAAGAATGACAAACAAGATGAATTAAGTGGCTGATCGTGAGTTGATTTACAAACGATGCCACACAATCATATCCAAGTT